TACAACAATTAATTTACTGTTAAACTGAAACAAATAATGAGACAAAAACTCATCATTTTCACACAAATTAGTTCAAAATTTAAAATCCTGTTTTTAGTCAAACCTGGTTTGATTGAAGTTGTTATTGTAATATTTATTCAACAAAGACAGAAATACTTGGTCCAAGAATGAAGGTACTCTGTGAGATGATCAGCTGAGTTTTATTGCAACAACAGGAAACACAGAGAACGACCTGGCCTGTCTCTGTGCCTCTGCTTCTCTCTGTCACTGTCTCTCCACACTACTGTTGAACACTCTGTTGACCCCTGTGTCTCGAGAGGCCTTATATATATATTAACAAACACCATTACGCCATCTTAGCAAGATTTGATACAAGGTCAATGGAAAACACAAACACAAGTGATATCTAAGAATGATTATCGTTGTTAGCAGATCTTGTTGTGACTTTAATCATTCTATCTGCAGATGAACAGCACGTCATGAAAACCTAGGTCATTAAAGGATGTCATGAATTATTTGCTTAAACATAAAAGTATTCGTTCTACCACACTCCCCCATCTGATCATTAAATCACCAATTAAATGATCAATAAAACAAAAACACCCTCTATTGTATTTAAAAAATGTCAACATAAACTTAAGTATATGTACTTTTCTGAAATCCCAACCACAGTAATTCAATTTTTATTCCTCCCACAGTAATTACTAAACCCCAAAACATAGTTATCACACAAAAGTCTTTGGATCATCTCGAAAACAAACAGGCTCGTCTGTTTTGATGTGTGGAAGGGTCAGATGTGTTAGTGGGGCTCTCCGAATCTTTTTGTAGATCGCGCAAGGGGCTGGAAAAGGAGGGTTAGCTGGATTCAGACATGGTGTTTGTTTGATATTAATCTAATCAGGTTCTTCCATGTTGTTAGTAAAATCCAGGAGTGCGCATTCCACTTGCTGTCCTTGTAGTGGCAAAGAGAAGACCACTGTCAAGATGAAAAATGATGAGGAGATATCGATTCGGCCAGCCAGAGGGAGTTTATTGAGTCCACTAGTACGCTTCAACCGACAGGACAGACCTTCCAAACTGAGCTGACGTATTTATGAACCCAGAACTTTTATACCCAAGTTGTTTGTGATAATACAAAGCCAGGAAT